GAGAGATCGGGAATGGGACCGGAGAGACGGTTCCTCTTGAGGCTCAGCACCCGTAGCTCAGTCAAACCATTAAGAGGTCCGAAAGAGCCCGTAAGATCAAGGTTCTCAAGAACCAGCCGTGAAACTCTGTTTCTGAGGCACGAGACGCCATTCCAGGAGCATGGATTAGAGGTGGAGTTCCAACTGGTAAGCTTATTCCCTTTATCAGACGCCGCTTTGAACGCCATTAAAGCATCCAAATCCGGGTTCGAAGAAGAAGAAAGACGCACAAAATGGAGTAAACAGACACAAAAAGCTAAATGCGCCAGCAGAGAAGACGCCGCCATTGTTGCTCTGCAAGAAAACAGAGAGAGAGGATGAAGACGTGAATCGGGAGAGAAAGGGTTTTAGAAGTAGAGGAAAATGACGGCGTTGTAAGTAGCGACTGCGCGAGGAAGAAGGGTARCGGAAATGGAAGTGACAGTGGTGTAATTAATGAAAAGTAAAGGGGCAACATTGCAATAAATCATTTTCTTTTTTTTTACTGGTGATTGAGGCGGACCATTCGAGTATTAGGAACTGAAAAAGCTTGTAACGTGTACTGTATTAACTGGAAGATAACAATTATGCGAAAAGACAACAACACCCCCTCCGAGAAAATTACCGTTGGATCAAAGTGATTGTGTTAAACGGGGAAGATAATAGATCAAGCGTGACYGTGTGGTCATATGATATTTCTAATTTCGTCAAATAGTTTTAAATATCTATGTCCAGAAAAATGCTAATTTCTTAATTTTATAAATGCAAATGCAAATGAGAGGACCAAGAATCAACATTTAAAAAAAAAACAACAACTAATTATATTTTTACAAACATACATCTGTTTAATATAATTTTTCTATTTTTCTAATAATATTAATATTATATTTATATTAGTGATATTTTGTTTAATTTTTCATATTTATCTCTCGTGTTGGTGTCGAGTCCATAAACACATGTCAATGTCTTGAAAATATTGACAGTCGACGAAAATTTAATATCCTAAAAAAACAAAATAAAATTTTTTATTTATGAGATATAAAATAAATAAATAAAATTGGATTCTCCTAAATAATTATTCCAAATAAATAATATTTGCGGAGTACCGTCACATGTATCTCCCTTTCTATCATTCATTACATRGACTTTTTCTTTTTCATAATTCAAATATATAAATAGATGCCTTGATTTTTCAAAGAAAATGRAGAGGAATTTCATTAAAATTATGAGACGGAGACGACATTTTAAGAAGTCTTTGAGGATAAAGACACAAAATACAATYGTTTCTCCAATTTAGAAATTACATTCATTATTGTTGTGTAGAAAACCCCGGCATTTCATTAAAATTGTTGTGTACAAAAAGTTGGAATAGGTGGAGATGAAGATTTTAATTTAAACTAAATCGAGATTAAAAAAAACTTTCTCCATTTCTAAGCTTTAGGTTCCAACTTCCAATCACATATTAATATATGGGAGGTTAATATTAGAAAAAGGAAAAAGAATTATTAATTGATATAACTTTCCCGAAAGAGACGGAAAACGGTGACACGTGGAAGATGATTAAAAGCTGATTCCATTTGGGGTCTGAGAACTAATTTTAAAGTGGAGCCTAAGGCGAAGGCATTTGTGGGGAACGTGGAAAGCACGCTCCGCAATCATAAGAAATGGCTGATCATCCGTACATCACACGAGCCTCTGACGCGCGTGCAGAGTCTCACGTGATACGCAGCGTTTGAGGATGCAGAAGCTGCACAGGATTCCACCGCTACTTTTTTTTTTCTTTCTTTTTTTATTTAATGCAACCACTTCCTTTGCCACATGGAACATCGCTATTTTCCACGTTATGCCTTTAATTTTATTCGCTATTTTCGTATTATTCATTATTACGCAGCATTAAATTATTTCAACTGTTACCATTAACCTTTGTTTATATAATCATAATAATATTTAGTTATAAAATACGGGTAAATAATTAAACCTTTCTAATTAAACTATTATATTAGCAAATTGGATTCCGTTGGACAACATTCTTTAACAATTAAATGTCCACGCCTTACTTAAAAGATTAAAAGCTTAAAGATAAAACCAAAAGAGCATAACTCAGTAGTAATTGACATATACCTCCAATTAAAAAGTTACGAATTCGAATAAGAGATCTCGATAAACCAAAATCGAAAGTTGAAGTAATTAAATATTATTTAAACTGTAATTAAATTAGAAATGCAGTCATTATTGCAAACAAATTTAAACCATGGCAGAGGGTCAAGATGGTCAAAAGAAATGGTTTATGGGACAAGTATTCTTCGGAAGCTGCACAGTTGAATAGCCTTTTCTCCCCACTTTTGCTTTTTCGCTTTTGCTTTCTGCCGATGATGCCCTTTTCTTTCTTCATATAAAAATTATATTTATATTGTATACTCATTTTGTCATATCCTCCCTTTTCTAATTTCCTCAATTTTAAATATCAAGCCATAATCATTGACCATTGTATCCATGTTTTTCCTTCTGCAATTACAGTCCTTTATTTATTTCATTATTATTTCCTCTTCTAATCTTAATCCACTCTTAATTATCCACTAATAATTAATTTCATTTCCCATTAATGTTTCACCCTCTCAGATTTTTATTCCGTTTACTCATCCCATTTAGTTTTTTCTCCCATGCCTTCCACTCTCAAATTTATTTCATTTTGGTCCCTAAACTTTAAGTGGGAAAACACAATTATTTTGGTTATTATTATATGATTTTGCCCCTTAATATTTACTTATCATATACTCATCCCTAACCTATGTAACTCGAATGCATGTTCACGTACATTATATCATTACACATATTCCAAGCTACATTATGAATTTGTTAAAAAAAAAAATTAAATATCTCGTCTAATTACTATTTTTTTCTTTTTGAGTTCAATAATTGCATACAAAGGTGGAGATCAAAAACCGTCGATCTATGATAATAGGTACCTTAGGGTTAGTTTAGTAACGTTCATGTTTTTTTATTTTAATGAAGAAAAATGTATTGCATGATTTCAACATCTAAAAATTCAAGTAGGATAAAATTGGAAATAGGAATAAGAAAGGAGAAATGATTGTTTCCAAAATCCAAAGAATGAGAAACAAACAAGAGATCAGATAACAACCATATAWGCTATTTTAAGCCGGTGAAAGCAACTCTTAAACTGCTTCCAATTGGAAAGGGGTTAGTTGGAGTAAAAACCGCTGACCCCATTTCTTGGTTTCACATAAAGTAAGTCAAAAGGTAATTTGTTTACTTTAACCAACTTGTTGGAAACAAGATAAAACACCAAATTACGAAATTAACGAAAGGAGGAGAGAAAATGGAGTTCAATAATTTCCCAGAAAAAGACTGGGAGTGCATTTACCAAGGCAGATGCAGATAGATGATGTTACATCATTCAAAAAGTAAAAGTTTTTTCCCTTTAAAACTTTGGAGCCTTCAGTTTAATAATTGTAAAATCAATAACCACTATTTATGGGCAACGTTTTGGTTTTTCAGAGCTCATTTGGTTACGTTGAAATTTTGGAAACAATCAAAACAAGCTTCTTTGACGATCCTTGAATTTATGAGTGTTGAACCAATGCAATTTTTTTTTAATTAAAAATAAAAAGATAGAAACGAGAATGTTACCGAATCGAATTTCCAAGTTTACAATTATTTTGGGGCACACACACCATAAAGTGCATATTATATCATGCTTCATCGTCACCCAAAAGCCACACATTTCTATGGCTCTCTTATCTGCACTATCGGTTTGGAAAAAGGTGAAAAAAGGGGGAGTGAGTAAATGGTGTAACATTACTTAATGACTCAAATAAGTTAATAATTATTGTCGGTTTCAACATCGCGTAACATTTATACGTAACATCATGTCAATTGCAAATGCAATAAGATAAGCTGAACTTTAGGAAAAATGTCTCACCTTAGAAGCCGATAAAGTAAAAATCGTGATGGCCACCTACCTAAGATTTAATATCCTACAAGTTCCCTTATCAATCAAATATAGTAAGATCAGACAGTTAGCCCGTTATTAGTCGAGGTACATGCAAACTGATCCGGATACACGGATATAAAAAGAGAGAGAAGTACAAATCAGGTCCCAAAAAAAAAACATGGAATACAGAAATGCATACGATAGGAGCATACATTCAAGTGAACAAAGTACTGGTTCCTCAAATCACTTCAAACTGAGTTGGTTCCAACACCTTTTAATTGGGCCCAAACCCATGCTTGGTTTGGTCCAGTAATCAGCCTGCTTTCTTAAAACAGTGGCCCATATCACGGCCCAACTTCAAAAAAATTACATTGAAACAAAAATTGTTGCATTAAATAAATAAATTATATCATTGAATATCATAAGAAAAAAAAGTGTCTCACCCTATTATATTATAGGCAGATGGCAGATGATGAACTTTGATTCAGAAGAAACAAGTAAACAAAAAAAAAAAAAAATGAGCTTTCTAATATACAGACAAATTTCAATTTCTGGATTAGTGAAGTCTCATTTTCAACATTAGCTTTAGCTTAGCTTCATTAATTAGCTATTTACTTTATGGCTCCTACCAACTTCATCTCTCCTTACCTTATTATGGCTACTCCTTAACTTTCATCTTACAGCACTTTGCATAACATTATAGTCGTAACGCGCCCCATCGAAAGTGGATCGAAAGAAGAGAAAGAATCTAGGAGTTGATAAAAATGAAGTAATCTATGCCACTCTCACTCCGCTGGGACGTTTTCCCTCCATGGCGTCCTTCTTGTTTCGACAATCGGCGCAGAGGAAAGGGCCTTGCCATGGCTTTGAGCTGGTGGAGAAGATGGAACCAGCATGAACAGAGATGCCCTCACTGGGAGCAAGATCTACTTGACATACAGCACAAGTAAATAGACTGGGTGTGCCATGTCCAGATCCACTCAATTCCACAGTTCCAAGCCTGCAACATCACTTCAAATTCATATTTCTAATTCAAGCATAAACCAAATTTAGCAACCAAACTAGGTCAAGTGATACGTTAATCGAACCGAAATTATCCCGAAACCTTTTCAGTTTCTGCGATTTTCTAGTAGGATTCTATTTTTTTGACAATGCCTCTACAAACTCAAGAGTAGTCCATGTTGTGTAATGATTGACTAACTTCAATGGATTGATCTTATGATAGTTCTAGCTCATCTCTATTTATATTTGTAGTGCACATTTGAATTGTAAATTGTAACAAGAAGAATAGATAAACAAAACCCAGAAAGGAAAGAGACCAACCTTTCAGCCAGCATGGCGGACCCGTCTTCGAATAATTCTTCCACGAGACCGATAGCTGATAGCCTCTTTGATAGCTTATTAGAACTGTGGGACTTTTTTCTGAATAATAGCGATTTCAGTACGCTTTGTTTCTTTGGAGGAGGAGAAGACTGTGCTGAATTATCAGGAGGAATTATGTCAACTACTATGCAGGTCGTATCATCCTTCAAGCCTCTTGTTCTTAAAGCTTCCTGTAGATATCATCGAAAGGAAACTTCAAACCGTAGAATAACGACGTAAAGATAAACTGGGAAATGAAACTATCAACCACCGAAATGTCGAGACGAAGGTCGCTTGAATTACCTTCACAACTTGCCTAGCAGCAAGCTCTGCAGGCAGTCCACGGCAAGACTTTGCAGCCATATCTGATGATAGCGCATCCCAGATGCCATCGGAAGCAATTATAAGCCTCCCACCAGCATTCGATAACTTTTCAACAAATACGTAAATTAGAGACGTTGAAAATGGTATTACCATAATCAGAACAGAGTACGTTACAAATCAGAATTGTATCAATACCTTCACTTGTTTCACAAATGGAATTGGAACTATAAACTCCCCCACATCCATGTCTCCAATAGACCGAGAAAGGCATAAGCCTCCGGGCCAACAACGGAGGGGGCCAATCTGTAACAATCAAGCAAATAGTACACTACAGAAATTAAACAATGTTCTTTGAACTTATAGGATGCTTATATTTGGCTAACAGCTAAGATTGCTTCACCTCAGCGCCACCGACAATGCTCAATCTTCCGATTTCCCCACCACTTGCAGTTACACGTTCCCTCCTGCATTAACCCGAAAACAAATCAGCCAGTTAGCACGATGCAATGGGAAAAGGATATCATTGGATTTGAAAAGGACACCTACTCCTCAACATTCTCTTCAAGTCTATGATCAACCGTCAAAGCAGATACAGCACCACCCTGAGTATCTAAAATGCATCGGGAATCTCCAACCGACGCTACTGTCACTGTCCATCTATCGATGATTACAAACGTAGCTGTAGTTCCAGAAGTTTCGCCTGTAAAAAACAGCAACATGTGCATCAAAGAATGAATATAGATCAGACGGTAGAAAGTATCTACTAACTAGAGATGCAATTGAAAAGAGAGTAAACTATCGCCAATCGTTGAGGGCTGTGAACGATTCCACACCTCTGCTCTGGAACTCCTTGTCTGTCTTCACAAATCCAGCAACCAACGCTCGTGGCAGCGCTTGAAGCCACTCCTCCTGCCCGAGACCACGGGGAATCGCGCTCAAGACATGGCTCAACAAATGTTCCCTCGTGAAAATTGCTGCAGCATTTCCATTGTGTCCATCAAATATCTGAAGGCGTTAGAAGCAAATAGTGAAAACCATGTAGAACTACATAGCAACAGGAAGAACAAGAGAAAATCCTAATTTCAACGCCCAAAAGATACCCATCTATAAGATTATGTAAATCTTTGGAACATCCATCAGAAGAGGTGATTTGAAAAAGTTTCCCTGGCTTACAAACTACATCTCTTAAGATCAGCTACCACCAATAAAACTTGAGATATGAAACTAGGATAGAGGAAAAATCTCCAGAACCCACTTGCAAAATCCAATGGACCTTTTACAGTTCGGGAAACGACCGTTCGATCACATCAGAACAAGAGCAATCTAAACAAAAAACGTCAGCTCCAAGACTTTCCTTAAAAGAGCAAACGAGCCAGTTGCTTGGGTGATGGCTTCGTAATAGCAGATACAGAGACTTCCATGAAATTGAAGTCATAAAAAACAAGAAACAGAGGGAGAGAACTCACAGCGAATACAGAGAAAGTGGATGAAGGGTTCCCAGGAACTCGCTGACAATCAGTTTTCATGAGAAAATAATCTTCTCCCTTTTTAGACTGCGCTGCATTCCCATATCTTATAGTGGGTTTCTCCAACCTCTCACTCCTCACCTCTTTACTGATCAAAGCAGCAAGAGGCACCAGATTGTGATGATGATGATGATGATTATGACGCCTCCCTTCTCTGGAAGCCATTGATCACAGACACCACAAGAAACTCCTCCCCTCGGCTCTTCGGACCCAAGATTTTGATCCAAATCGACGCTCCCACTAGAATACAACAGACCCAAATTCGCTCAAGTCGTAATACCCAAGTGAGTTCAAGTTCAGATTCCTCAACTACACAGGAAATTTGTTTAACGGGGTTTGTGGGGAATTTTGAGAGGAAACAAGCAGAGGACAAAGATTAGAAAAATGGGAACTACAGACCAGAATGTCTCGCGGTGTGTCGCGAGAAGTCAAGGGCAGATCTGATTGAGACAGCAAGCTAAGAAACCCCACAAAAGAAGGGGAAGGAAGAAGAAGAGAGAAATCAACACGGAAAGGAAAAGGGAAACGCGTACCGATGACGAGGAATGAACTGTAAAAGATAAAATAAGTCTAGAACCTGGAAATTCTATAGAAATGGAAGAGATCCCCACAAAGATACTCCATTATAATAAAAACAATCGGGGATTTTGAGCAGAACAGAAGAACCCAGGTCAGCTTCTCGACAATTTCCCTCACCAAACCGACTCAGTACCCTTTGGCCTTTGTAGGGTGGGGGAATTTGGAGATTTTCCAGGTACTTAAAATGGTTCGCAAAAGCTTGGAACCATTATAATTTTTATATATCTGAACTGGGAAAGTGACGGAGAAAGTGGCTTTGCTGTAAAAGCAATAGAAACATTTCTCTCTCATCCAAAAGTCTCCCTTTCCTCATCCAAGAAATTAAAGTCGGCATTTGATTAGAACTGTTCCACAGAAGAAAATACTCAAATACCCAGTAAATAAAAAGTTCAAATTCATTTGATTTGGTGATTGTTCTTCCAATCCAGAGACGTCACCTTTAAAATTTTACAGGGTTAGTTTTATCAGAAAGAAACACAGTGGTTGAATGAAATCAATGCCAATGGAATCCATGACGTTTGGCAATAGTTTTAATATTCGAATCAAAATATTGATGAATATTTGTTCATTCAATCATTTGATTAAATAAAACTGGGTACAACATTATTTGAGCACTGCAGAAATATTCTTAATATCTTTAATTATGCCATCTACTTTTGAAACAGTGGTTTTGTTATATCAAATAGATTCCACTAATTGTTTTCTTCCTACTAAAAAAGAGAGAGAGATAGAGAGAGAGAATCGAATAATGTTAATGTTAATAACATCTCTGATATTGATTGATTTGATTGTAAATTACGAACAATTTATAATATACATTTCCATTTTTACAAAAGTAAGGGGTGAAAATTCAGACCATTAAATTAATTTTCTTTGAATTGATTAACTTTAACTTTTAATATTTTAATTAGTTTTTAGGACAATATTTTAATTTGTTGCAAATTTACTTTAGATCTTTCTGCTCTTTTGGGCATGGTTCCAATTATTTTTCTCGGATTAAAAAATACTTTTGGTTACGTACTTCATTTAATTGAGGTATTTATTTAATTCTTGAAATTTAAATTGTAATGATATTGTCCTTTATACTTTTAAACTGCAATAATTAAATTGTTAAGAACTTAATTGTTATCTATTTAAAATTAGAAAAACTAAATTATTAAGGAAATAAATCATTTACTTAATAAAAATATTGAGAAAAAAAGCATTTTTTTAATTTGTTTTTGTTTTTAAGCTCTTATATACCTTATGTTGAAGCAAAATTGTACATTTATTTTTTAATTTAAGCGCCATCATTGTTTACACAAAATATTATCTCTAGCTGGAAATAATATTTCTTTTAAAGAAAAAACTGATTTTTTTTCCCTCTTTTTCCCTTTTTGGTATCTGACCTCTTTGCCTCTTGCACGTGGAGTGGAGGTAGAAATAGTTGACAGAATGATGATCCCTTTAAATTTAAATTTATTATTCATTATTATGTAATTACAATTTAAAGTATTATTATAACTATTACTTAATTGTTTTTTGCATAATTAGTTCCAATTTTTTTCAAAACGTTCAAGAAAAAAGTTTATTTTTTGCATGGTACGTTATTTAAAAACAGTAAAAAGCTGACACGTGTGATGAAAAGTTTGCATGTTTTTCTGTGATCGCATGACAATGATGTGGAAATCTCAAGGACTTTGCTGCGGCACGTGCCACTGCCACTCATGCTTTTTTGGCTCTAATCACCCACATAACAACATTTTTTTAATTTAAAATTTCACAAAATGAGAACTAAGTTTAACGCAAAATATCACACAATAATCCTTAATCATTTGAGTAATTCTGAGCTTAGTGTTCTTAATTTTTTGAAATTCTCAAATTTATCGAGTGTATTAAAAAATTTTCACTTATATTATTAATGTAAACAAAGTGAATTCGTCAAATTATTAATCTATTCACCCATTTAAACGCATAAATATGTAATTTGAATTCGTGTTAACCCATCTAACATATTTAAATTAGACCCAAAATTAACAAAATCTATTTCTTTTCAACTGACAATGAAATACACGATTTTTGTTAACAAAATTTAATATATTTTTCTTATAACCTAATTGAAAATTTGAAAAGATCGAAAACTATTTTAAGAACTATTTAAAAGATCAAGGATCATTAACTAAATTTAATCATTATTTTAGTTATTACCTATCGACTTGAGAAAAAAAATTACAATATTGCAATCGATTTGTTTTTGGGATAACTAAACTCATGTACCAACAAAAATCAATCAAGTCAATATAATTAAATCATAAAAAGATTCGAATAAATTCAAACCAAACTAATATAATTTGAGCCTATGCATATATTCTTTTCCTTCTCGTCGAAGATTTAAATCCAATCTGGATATCCTTTATTTGTTGTACTAGTCCGAAACATTCAATATGATTTTGTAATTTTTTTGTTTCAACTTTCACTCAGATCTAATTTGTTGTTTTTTGTAATTTTAATTTGTGTTTTTTTTTTTATAAATGATTTGCATCCAACCATATGACTTGACATATGTTAATCATTTGACAGCATCACTTGCATTACATTTCCATAAGTATCATTCAATACTTTTTGAAAATGCTTTATTTGAAATAAAGTTAAATGACTATTTTACGATTTTTAATATAAAGTTCAGAGAAACTTATAGCTATATATATAAAAATGTCTTATGTTACCACCTCTGGCATGGACTCTAATTAAAATAATACATATTTTAATTACACAATTGAAATACTTAATTTTGCAGCATTGCCCAATTTGATAATATAAAAACCTTTCTCAAAGTGAACAGATAATGACAGTGGATGAATTGGTAAAAAATTGAAAATGAAAAATGAGAAAGTTTAGCTTTTGATTAATAATAATAAAAAAAAAAGGTCACAAATTACGAGAAGTAAAAAAGTGTGATTAGCACGTGGATGGGCTTATTTCCTTTCATTTGGAATTAAGCAAATAATAGGAATTTTTTGCTTATAAAACTAAAATTTAGATTTAATAATATAATTTTTCACTAATTAAGTAGATTAGCATGTGATGGTCTAATACGTAGCCTAATAATTGCCTCAATTAGATGCAAATTTTCGCCCTAATTGGAGGGTTTCTATTTTCAATTTATCTGCTCAGGTATCCAATGCTATATAATGCCTCACACTTTTTCTTTTTTTCTTTTTGTAATATAGTAATCACTCTTCAAATTTCTATTCAATTACACCATATTCTCCAAATCTTTATTTCTGTTTTTTTTTAAATAAAATAAAAAAAAATGAACAGTTAAAAATACTATATACTGCTTTTATATATTTTATTTTCTGTCAACAGAGGGAGAATATTAATCAGATTTTTTTTTTCATTAGATTTAGAATTTTTGGAATAGATTGTGATAGATTGTGATCTATACCAAGTTGTTCCATTTGTACACAATTTAATACACTATGAAAAGACAATTGTGCGAAATTAAACCTAAAAATAATACATGGATATTTGTTTCACGAAATATAATTTAATTATAGCCTTTAGAGAGAGAAAAAGATAATAATAGATAGCTAAAGCATTTTGGGAGAATTCAAACCGTCTTAAAATATAAAATATATATTTTGATCATTGAGTTATATTTATATTGGTATGCAATTCTTACTTTCATATTTAAATTGTAGCACTGAGAAAGAGGATTCATATATATATATAATAGAATAATGTATAGTTGGAAAGTTTTTAATTTATCAATTATTTAATTATAAATTTAGTCAAATAATGTATTTTTTAGTATATGAATTATAGAAAGCTTATGTTATGTTATGAACTTTATTTAAACTAGGTTGACCTTTCAGCCCTTGCCCCTAAAGTTATTTTTATTTGGCCTAATACCATTGGGCTATATCATAGGAGTAGGGATGAGGATGAACATTGACTTATAAGAGAAGTTATAGTTAAATTATGAATTAGGTTTCCATTGTTGGGGCAAAGTTTCAATTTAGTCCCTATGTTTCAATATAGTATCTATGGTTTGAACTTAGTTTTAATTTGATAATTCCTTGATTTGGTTAAATCTCACATGTCTTTCCTAAATTTAGTTTTAGTAACTCTAAAAGTCTACTCCTTTTTATTATTACTCAGCTCTAAAATCTAGTAAAAAAAAATAGTTATCAAAATAGAACTTTCATGTAAAAATAAAATTGTCAATATAATGTCAAAGCGAACATAGTTTARCGGTAATTGACACATACTTCTAACTATGAGGTTGTGAGTTGGATCTCTCATCCCGAGATGTTGAAATTAAGTCCAAATTATTTGGACTAAATTGAAGCTTTTAAAATCATAGAGACGAAATTTATTATTTAACCAAAAAGTTAATTAATATGTTAATAGTCAGCGTTGTAATCTAGCATCTAAGGGAAAGAGCTATGTATTTTTTTTTCTTTTTTAAAAATAAGTTGTTGGGAGTTATATATAGATTGTTAATTATTTATTTTTAAAGAACTATAAGAAAGAAATTAGTGTGTGGATGAGAGTTGGGAGTTGAAATGGAAAAGGACTTGAAAGGCAGCAATGACCAAATAAAAAGTTTT